AGCAACTACCTTCCATTCAGACTCTCCTTGGGTTGTGCAACGATGTGTCATTTTCAGCTACCATCTTTATTTGGATTATAAAACAGATTCAAGAGGAAGAATATTATTTCATCCAAATGGGTTAATTAGTCTTGAAATGGGTTAATTAGTCTTGAAATACTGTTAATAACAGCTATTAAACTACTTTCCGGGTCTTTTTTGGGTCTTACCGGTTCATTTATTTTTCACTTAAAACAAGTGAGTTCACTTGTTTTTTTTTCTCATTTTGATTGCTGACTCCCTTCGATAATCTTCTAATCTTGTTTGCAGCATGCATTGGAAATGAAAGTGCATACAAGCATAGGACAGCTGCATTATTCAAATTATTACTATTGTGAAAGGTCTGCTGCCCCCCCAACCCAACCATATCAACCAGCGCCACTCTTCCCCTTTAGTCCGAATCTTCTCAAGGGTGCTAAAATTCACTGTGAGAACATTTTAAATGTAGAGGTTGTGTAGTATGGGGAAGTACGATCTTATCAAAAACTGTGTAAAATACAAGTTCAAGTAAGTAGGACAAGGGGAAATTCTTGAAGCATTTATCAGAGACTGTGGTTTCATTCATTTTACAGACGGTGTGCCAGGCAACTCCTGTCACTGTACTGGTGTTGCTGTGGTATTTAACCACATTTCCTGCTTTACATATAATGTTAGCAGTGATGCAGAAATACTGGGGCAGCTGCGGGTGCTTGTGCGTTCATCTGCAAGGGTTACTGCTGCTGCCTCTGCTCTCGTAGTTACTGATCTATTGTGACTTCTTACATACCTGGTGTCAGAGCAGGGCTCAAGGGGCCAGGTAGCCTTGGTTTCCTGCTTTCATTGCCTTTAGATGAGGCTTGTTTTGTTTTCTTCCAGGCTTTAAGTGCTCTTCTTAAAGCGGTTACCGGCTAGAGGAGGCAGCGCTTTGTTTACACACTCGAGGACATTTTTGTGTAGCCGCTGTGCGTTTTTCCACAACAAAGGCTTGAACTACTGTCCTCTGTTGCTCAAGCACTTTGCAGCTGGGAACATCTTCTAAGTGGTGTTTCAATGATTAGCTTGCAGTCACATTATTGTCCACTTTGGACATGGAAACACATAAAAGCAAGGGTATTCAGGACTTCTTTCTGTAAAATAAACAAAAAGTAGGAACGCTTGAATCCAATACATTTAGATCAGTTTCAAGGCTAATACTATGAAGCAGATTGGACATCAGCCAGGTACAGTCAGTTTCAGGGTGTCCATGTGGTCAGTTCAGATATCCTCATCTCAAATCTGTTAATATCAAAATATTACACAAGAGACCTCTTTTCATTCTTTGAGATCAGTTCAGGTCAGATCTTTACAGAATACATGAATATATATATGAAGATAATAAAAGATAATAAGAAGTCCAACAATAAGAATAGGGATGAGATAAAGTGCTAAGAGGCAGTTTATGGTGCATCATGAGAATTAGTGTTTATATTCCATGTTGCATTTGGTGTGTCAGATTCCTTAAAGTGACGACGGTGTGTATTTTACACAGTGCATTTAGTTTTTATTCTTACTTATGAAATTGTGTTTGTTTCTTTTAAAATGCATAATTCACATTATGTTGTAAATTGCATAAATCAGTGGGCACACATTCACATGAATACACTGGTGAATAAGGCAGCATCCAGCCATAACACTAGGTACTGCTTTCTACATTAAGCTTCTTCTATGATGATGATTTTTGTTTTTGTGTCTCAGCATGTACCTAAATACCTGTTACGGGCATCGAAGCCTGCAGTCACAAGCGATGAAGCAGCTGCACCTCATCACAGTGACACCAGGAAGGCTTCAGTCAGTAAGTTATCAACTGTCAGTCCATTTCCTCACAGCTTCAAGAGTCTCTCCGTTCTCTGATGTTAAACTTTAACTGTTTTTGTGTTCACAGAGTTAAAGACAAGAAAAAGAAAGAAGCGTGCAACTTGAGCTCCTCACACCAAGAAGACTGTATCGTCTTCAATATCTCAGCAGATTAAGGTGCTCCTGTCAGAGGTGACCACATGGTGGCAGCATTGTGTTAGCAGACGAGTTCCTGCCATAAACATCATGTGAAGGAAGAGAGCAGAAGCTTTCTGCTGGATGTTTCTTTTCACAGTGAATGTTGTTCAGTATCCTGTGTAAAAACTGTTGAATGTTTGTCATTTTGCCTCTATTTTATACTTTTGTAACTGTCAGTAGATTTATAGTAAACGTTACTCAAACAGGAGTGAATAGTGCATTTATTTGGGATCATTTTCAGTGTCGGATTAATACACAATGGGTGCTATAGTGAGTATTTACAGCACCAGGATGGTGTATGTTCCCATGTTTTTGGGAAGCAGTGGACCTCATTGTATGTGTTTA